AAATATACCCGGAGGGTCCTCCCCCACTTCGATCCTTCTTACCCCTTGCTGCTTCACACTCAAAAGAGATCCCGATCCTTGCTGTCGTTCCATAATCATTCTGCCAAGGATCCCAAGCCTGCCATAGCTAGAGATCTAACCAATCCATTCCAACACTAACCATTCCGAACTAGCGAAACGAACCAAATCTCTCCCTACCATGCTACAGTTACTGCATCCTCCGAAACTTCTCCATATGAGCACATCCCCCTAACTACCAACCAATTATCCGAGGTATGCAAATGGCATATAACATAATTACAAGCAAGCCACACTAAAAATACAACACTTATACCACAAATTGATGCAGAACCATAACAATATAATCATGACACAAGCTGTCAGAAAAACAAAAGTTACGTACCTTAATTATTCAGTGCTGCTCGAATCCTTGCTGAAATCTACCGGAAAACTCGGCTCTAAGCCGTAGGCACCCTTGCCCGGCCTCGACAACTGCTGGCGGTACTTGAAGTCCCAAGGGCAGGAGCTGGCGCCTGCCCTGCTGAATACAAACTCGGACAGTGGGCCTTCTTGTGGCCCCTCTGACGGCAATGGAAACACAACGGATCAAGTCCCTCGGCGATGGCAATAACACAGTCTCTGCTAAAATGACCAATCTGGCCGCACCTGAAACACCCAGCATCGCCACCACTTCTATGCCTACACACACCCATATGCAACCTCCCGCACTTCCCGCATCGACTGCGGCTCTGATAGTTCCTCGTCCTCCAATCTGAACTCTTGGGTCTCTTACTTGAACCTGTGGCAACTTGAGTCTCATCCATTTTCCTCTTCCCTTCCGACTCCCTGCCCGACTCTCGCTCCTGCGCTACCCCAATGGCAACGCCTGATGGCTGAACGACAGATGTCTGATCCTGAAGCCTCGCTATCAATCTATCAGTGATCCTCACGACCATGTCTGGCAGACCCTCGCGAATGGCTCGCGAAACTTCCTCAACTATCCAATCATGCAATGGTTTCTCTTGGAGACAGAATGCCCCACACACCCCTGCCCCCTGATAGCAGGAACTAGAAATGGAATCTCCCTTCCTGATGGATCCCAGAACTCCATAAGATTCGGGACCTAGACGAGCCCCATTTTGTCCTGAAACTAACCCGGCCCTAAAGGCCTCAAGATGACTGTCCATGAGCTCCACAATAGCCTCTCTAACTGAACCGAAAATCACTGGAGTCTGATCGATGATGTTGCGCGTAATCTCTGCGGAAATGAAATTCCTCATCCGATCATCAAGCTGCCCGGCTCCAAAACCTGAGCCAGACCCCTCCCCTGCACCTGAACTGTCAACTGATATCTCACGCAACGTCACCATGCTGAAAACATAACAAAATCCTGATCAATTAACACACTACTACTGAGGGATCTCTCACATACTCTACTAGTTCCTTGGTTTCACCTCGGCCCCTCTTGAATCGAGTACGAATCCTCTGCTTTCAGTAGTATGGGCCCCTACTACCTTCCACATCTATCCATACTTTCCTCAAGAGTTACCTCAACTCCACCCAGTCCCCTTTACTTTTCTACTAATCTCTGCTACTCTCATCCTAGGCTTGCCCTAGGGAACCTCTGACTCTACCCAAACAGTCCTCAGCTGTTGAAGGCCTCCTTGTAATGCCAATTAGCCACCACCTGAATACCATCACATGTGATGAGGCTCGGATAATCCTTCGAGTAAAAGTCCCGTCCCTACAACGGTTGGACTCAAACAAGAGCTGCGCAGTAGGGCCAAATCCAGCACTCTGAGATTATTCAACCCTGATCACATGTAATGTGATGTATTCACCTAATGGCTAACTCCCATCACTCAGAGTCCCACAAAGCACAAAGCAAGCAGCATTCGGATAAAGGAAACATACTTAGGCAAAACAATTCTCATAACAAGAAACTGCACTAACATACCATGCTAAGCTCATACTTTCAGGCATAACTTACACAGGCTATCCTACTACTGTCTACTCGTTACTAGCATGCAATTTTCATCAAGCTGGAACACATAAAGCAGGCACATAAGGCATCATCCGAAATCCTTAGCCCTATTCTAGCATGCTGTTCTACTGAAGCTGAAACTGAAACTGAAACTGAAACTGAAACTGAAGCTGATACTGATAATCATAATATAACTTGTATGGGTAAATTGGGAGTACTTACTTGAGCTCGGCTGACTGCATGCACACACCTCTATCTTTAAAAACAATTCCTTCTTTCTAAGTGTTTTCAAAATTCTTTTTGTAAAACATTTTCATTTTATTAAAATCTTTTATTTCCCTCAGTTTGAGTTCAGATACACCCGGAAGTGTATCCGAATCCCTCAAACCAGGGCTCTGATACCAACTTGTAACGACCCAAAAATCACGACCAAAAATTTCTTTAAAAGCATTACTAGAATCATATTTATAAAAATTGTATCATAAGTCATAACATAAATTCTCGAGTATTAATTCAAACATAATATCATTATCAGAGTCGAACATTCCTAGGCTAACTGACTATGGTGTGTGCACTGCAATCTCCCCGAGCTCCTCTTTTGAAAACTGAGTACCTGAAACCAAAACTAAAAACCGTAAGCACGAAGCTTAGTGAGCTCCCCCAATCTAACACATACCATACAATAACATATAAAGCACATACTGGGCCTTGCCCACTGCATCGGACAAATGTCCGGACTAACTGGGGCCTTGCCCCCTACATCGGACCGAAGTCCAGAAACTGACTGGGACCTTGTCCCCTGCATCGGACCGAAGTCCGGACTAACTAGGGCCTTGCCCCCTGCATCGGACCGAAGTCCGGAAACTGACTGGGACCTTGTCCCCTGCATCGGACCGAAGTCCGGACTAACTGGGGCCTTGCCCCCTGCATCGGACCGAAGTCCAGAAACTGACTGGGACCTTGTCCCCTGCATCGGACCGAAGTCCGGGCTAACTGACTGAAAATAGCATAGCATAACAAATTAACTAGCATGAAGACATATACTGCATACTACATCGGGCCGTAGCCCGGAACACATAACACATAACACATAAAACATAGCACATAAATCCTGTCTGAGCCACGAAGGCATCAAACATACTAACTACTGCATCGGACCAAAGTCCGGAAACTACTGCTAACTGGACGGGCCGGCATTGTGGCCTTAGACCCGTCCCTACTGGAAGGAAACTCACCTGATGCTGCTGAACTGTTGCTGCTAATCCCTTGACTGCTACCTGACCTCTGACTTCGACTGCTGCTCCACTAGCTCCTCAAGCTACCAATATCAATAAAACACTTAGTCCAACTGACCTCCAAAGGTCACTAGGTCAATTCTGGTCAAGGTCAAAATCCTGGTCAAAGTCAACCTTCCGGGTCAACCCTACTCGCCGAGTCTATCTACTGACTCGCCGAGTTCATATGCTCAGGGTCTTTCTTATTCGCGACCCGACTCGCCGAGTCAGCCCATGACTCGCCGAGTCCAACCAGTTCCAAGTCCTGTCCTGTCCAACTCGCTGAGTCACCACCCGGCTCACTGATTCGGGTCCCGACCCGAAGGGTTCAGAGTTTCGCGATCTGACTCGCCGAGTCCAAGAACAGACTCGCCGAGTCCTAGACAATCTTCAACCAACCCGCCGAGTTGGTTCATCAAACTCGCCGAGTCCATGCCTAACTTCATCCGACTCGACGAGTTGTTCATCCTACTCGTCGAGTCCCTCCTCATCTTCAAGCTACTCGCCGAGTCCACTCTAAGGACTCGCCGAGTCTATCCAGTCCCCAATCCATGCAGCGGCTTTTCGAGCCAAACAGAGTTTACAACTCATAGATCCATACTTCTAGGGACTATTCCCCACGTAAAGTGGCAAACTTTACGTGTAGATTGAGAGATCTAAGCTCAAAACACACTAAATTCGGGTTTATGGCAAACATGCTTCTTCAACATATCAAAGGCTGATACTTTAGGGGATTCTAGACCAAAACCAACATAGATCAGAGGTAGCAACCTCAGATCTGGACCTCCAACTCGATTTGGTTACAAAACATACCAATAATGACCAAAACTCACACATAAGAATAGATCTAGGTGCAAAGGGAGTCCAATCAACAGCTTATTACCTCCAAATGATCTGCAATGTCTTCTCAATCTCGGATCTACAGTCCCTTCTTGCTCTTCCAAGGCTTTTCTTCCCTCTCCAAGCTTATAGTGCTCTCTTTGATGCAAGATCTAGCTCAAAAACGGATATGGCGGCTAGGTTTGATGTTCTGGGGTAGAGAGGCAATACATGAACCCTAGGAAGGAGAATGAGACACTTAAATAAGCTCCAAGTTCCCGGGTTTAGGGTTTTCCCCGTTCAGACCCAACTCGCCGAGTTTCCCTGGCCGACTCGCCGAGTCGGTCGCTTTCACCACAACCCAGATCCCGCTCGGACTCGCCGAGTCCTTCTATGGACTCGTCGAGTCTCCCCTAAACTTGAGGTTTTCTTTCTTTTCTTGGCTTTCCAAACTTAGGGGTGTTACAGTTTTCCAAGGTGTTTTGGTGATTTGTGATTCCACTTGAGGCTTCCACACTATTGGAGCTAAGCTCTTCAAGTTTGAAGACATCAAGCTACATCAAAAGGTATGTCATCTAACTAGAACATTGCAGTATAGGTGCTTCATAATATGCTAGTTAGGATGAAACCTTGGAATATTTAATATTTGCATGTATAATAGAGAAAACATTTATCCAAGGTTTATAGGGTTGCAGGTACACCATAGGAGTGTTAGAATGCTCAAAACCCACCGGTCATACTTCTGTACATCCTTAGACAAGATCAAATATAAATAAATCCAGTCCTTCGAATTCATACAAGGTAGATCAGCAAAGGAAAAGTCAACTTTGGTACGACTTGCACCTTAGAATCCTTTAAACTTGACATTGATGAAGTTTTCAACCTGAACCGGTGCATAAACCTTCACAGCTCCAAGGTTGGAATTATGGGTTTCCATACTTGAGATAGAATGAGAAGAACATATGATTAACATCATAATATGGAAGGTGATCTCTCTCAATTTTCTTAAAGCATTGGAATAGAATTTCTCTCGGAGTGACCGAAAAATCAAAATGAGAATCAGCAGTATTACCCAGTTCGAAGGATACTACAATCTCCAACCAGTGAATGTTGGGATCATTGATAGCTTCACATTGAATCCTTTCCAAGGTCCATGGTGTAAAAAGTGATTCTTGAGTTTGCCGAGTAACTTTTGCAATTTTGTCCTCAACCTCTTTTTCTTCTAACTCCCTCTGAAGAAACAACAAACGATCAAGTTCCTTGTCTCTTTTATTTCTAATCAACATTTCACCTTTAGACAATTCTTCTTCTTCATCGTCATCATCAACGATCTTCTCTTTACCTTTTAACCCAAAATCTTCATTACCCTTTTGTGAACCTTTGGTTTTTCCTCAAGATGTTCATCGGAGGGTTTCTTGGCCTAGGGATGGGGTTCATTTTTTCTTGTGCTTTTTCTCCTCCTTGTTTCGAAATAGCAGTACTACCCGAAAGACCCTCGAATTGATTGAGGAATGCAAGACATGTTTTAGTATATCCGAGAGATGTTGTCGAATTGAAACAGTAAGCATTGAGTCACAAGTTTCTAACAACCTTTGCAAGTATTGATTAATATTCAAAATAGAGCTTTTGAACACCATTTTCTCATATTCCAAGTCGTCTAGACCTTTGATGGTATGAGATTTCAAACTGCGAAAGGTACAAACCATTTAGGTTTTTATCGTAAATTCATTGGTGAAAGTATCTAGAACATTTAATTGTTCACCGTCAATTCAGAAATGCATTTCAGATTTTGGATTTCACTAAAATCGTGGTGACAACAATTTTTAAGATAACAAACACAGAAGTTGTGTAACCATAAACCTCAGTGGTAATCGCCGAGAGTCTCAAGGTTTACATTCAGAAATGCGAAATCATTGGAGAAAATGTTGGAGATGGTTCCGAAGAGAAAAGTGTACCTCTGATGTAAAAGAATAACCAAGCACTCAACTCTTAACCCAAAGTGAGAAGAGTAAGGTAACTTAATGACTTATGTGAATAATAAACTGACTGGGAAGAAACAATCGGAATGAAAGTTTCATTAACGCCTCAAACATAGAGTCTTAGAGGCTTAGGGCAACATGCAACAACATTCTTCTAGGGACACTTAGCTAGTACATAGTTTCAGAATTGTATACCTACTATATTGTTCTGAATTGAGGTAACAAAAATGTATACTTGATACAAGAACGCATTCAGAAAATAACACAGAAGAAAGAAAAATATTTTCCTAGTTTATGATTTTTTGAAAAAGATAAAACAAAAATAAGAAAATATTTTTGTAAGTTTTGGATTTTCAAAAAAATAAAAGTAAAACAGAAAGTAAACAAAAATATTATTTTTGTGATTTTTGGAATTTCTGAAAAAGAAATGAAAAATAGAAGAAAAAAATATAGAAGAAAAATAAATTCAGAAACAACAATGAACAGTATCTTCAGAAGCATTCCGAAGTTCGGAACCAATTGGAAGTAACATAATGTACAAAGTATACATAAGCATTCAAAAACCTTTGATGAACAGTATATTCCAAAGAATTCCGAAGGATCAGAACCAGTCGAAATTTGAAAATAAATTATGAACCATCCCAAAGCTCGGAACCATTCGGAACATGAACAGTAATTTCCAATTATGAAGGGGATTTCGAACTGAGTCAGCATCTATCATTCCGAGATCATTGTGTGTTTTCAAGTCTTTACTTGACACCTAGCACCTTGTCTAACACTTCCGACACTTCCTGTCACACCCCAAAACCAAGAACGGCGGAAGCGTTTTAGGGCGGAGGACGTCATGTATAATATCAACAACAATGTAAAGTAGTAAACAAGCAACAACATCATCCATTGCATTAATAATATAATTATTATACAAATATGTTCTGTCAAATTTTGATAAACACTAAAGCATAAATCAAAATGAAAGATAAGTCTTGAACAAGATCCATCTTCCTTTCTCCTTGCATCGGTACCTGTTTATGATGACCTGAGGATACAAGTAATTTTGAAAGCGAGTATCAGCTTTGAAGGTGGTGAGATCATAAGTATTTAGTGTCTTAATTTGTATGTAAGAATTTGTAACTGTATATGGATTGTAAGTGTTTGAAAAACCCTAGAATCCCGATGATTCCTTCTAGTATATGAAGGTGTCTTCTACCAAGACCTAACTGTTTTTTGTGTGTGTGTGTCTCTTGTAAGAGGATGTATTTTCCAAAGTATAACTATCATTATCCAAAAATATAGTTTGTACATTAATGTTTCAGTGAGGTTATCACTAAAAATATATCATGGAAAAATCAATGTAGTACTACAGTGTAGTGCCGAACTACAACCGTACCTATTACCTTAAATCTAGGGTAATACTTCCAAGTACTGTAGTATTTGATATAAATAACTACATCGATACCCAACTGCCTTATTTGAGGGATAAGGTATAATGTGATGTCTAGATCCCAGACTATACGCTCCCCTATCAAAGGGATTTTGGGACCTACCCACGACCCCTGCATGAATGCAAGCTGTGAACATCCACATTACCAATGATCATGTATACTCGATATAACTATCACAATTGTGGTGTGATTCATCAGTATAGTTAGATCCTGAACTGGTTCCGTGCTATAGCCCCTAGTGACGTCTATTCTATGTATATGTAAGTGTACTCATGTAAGTGTGATCATGTAATTGTACTCATGTAAGTGTGATCATGTAATAGTACAGTAGTGTACTGTAATGCTCTACGTGTGCTAGCTGTAATGTGTGTTCTCTCTATCTAGCAAGTATAGTAATGTAATCATTCTAGTATAGTTGTATATGTTCTCGTCCTAGTATTGTTGTATATGTAATGTACTGAAAAGTTCTAGAAAGTATTGACTCATGAATGAACTGACTCATTGTATTATATCGCATTCTAGTATCTTCCTAAACTACCCATATGGTAGTTTACTAGTAATCTATCTGGTAAGTATGGACATGGATGTATACCCTTGCTACCCAAGGACATATGTTGAACTGGAAGGACCTTTTATGACTATATATGTACACATGATATATAAGTAATATTTAAACGACTTTCGGACGAATACCCGATATCCCACCAGACCACATCTCAAGGCGCGAAAAGGAAGTAGGGCGGACAGCCTTCCTAAGTCTTTTAAACATTTCTTATATAACTATACATATAGAGGCATGCAATTTATAATATAAAAGCATAAATAAGTTTTGTAAGACATTTGAAATATAAGTATTATTTTAAGAAAAGATCGACTTGATGTCAATCTATAAAACAATTTGAAGGCATAAGTTTAATAAAACAGTTTAAGTATAAGGAAACATTTGTTTGAAACACAGTTGTAAATAAGTTTGAAAGGTAATGTACCGAGTAAGCTGTATAGTGTAAAAAGGAGTTTAAAACATATAAAATGTTTATAAAAAGTCATTTGAAGGAAACTGTTTGGTAAAACACCTAATGAGTAGCCAAATCATTTAAATGCTGTATATTAATCACATGTGATTGATGTAATAAGTAATATAATCCTACTTACTAATCACATGTGATTGACATAATAAGTAGCATGATTCTACTTGTATCCCCCCATAAAACATTTAAAAATAGTTTAAAATATTAGTTAAGGGGTATGAACTCACGTGCAGTAAGTGACTGGAATTGAACAGACTGTTATCGTACGGAAGGATCGGACAAGTGCTTGGTGTCAAGTGGAGACTTAGACACACACAATGATCCTAATTACATATGAAAACATATGTATATAAATAATTAGTGATTATAACACTAATTATACAAGTAATAACATTTAAGAAAACACTTTTGGTCAAGTGCTAGGAGGCTAATGGGTTGCAACAAAGGAGTGCAATGCCCCTATTTTGAGTTTAAGGTCTAATGACCATATTCATTGGAGTTTACGGCCCAGGGAAGTAAGCTCCTGGCCGTAAACTCCGAACCAAGGCTTGAAATGGTGCTTACAATTACTACAACTCTAGTGGGAATTTATTCAAGGCTTATACAAGTGTTTGGGCACCATATTGACTCCTTTGGGGAGTTTATGGCCCAAAGACCCTTTTCCCTTGGAGTTTACAGCCATAAACTCCCTTGGGAGGGTGATTATGGTGCTTTCAAGTCTCTATAATAAATAGGAACAATTCTAGCCTTTTTCACTTGGCTTTGGAAGAGTTTATGGCACCATTTGGTACCATTTCTTGGAGTTTATAGCCATAGAACATTTTGGGTCGTAAACTCCCTCACACATGGGGTTCTAAATGTTTTAGCTAGTCCATTACCCATCTAGGTACATGCCCAAATTGTCTCATGGCCTAAGGAAGTGTTTAGGGTGTCCTTTGACCCCTTTATGGGAGTTTACGGCCCAAGAAATACTCTTGGCCGTAAACTCCTCAATACTTGTGCTTTTCTTATGTTTCCTAGGTCCTAAACACATTAAGGTATTTGCCAAAAATAGAGTCCAAGCCTTTTGGGGGTGATTAGGGCACTTTTAGCCCTTAAAAAAGGGGTTTACGGCCCAAGAACATATCCTTGGCCGTAAACTCCTAAAACTATATGGTTTTGATTGATTTCTAGCCTCTAATGTTCATACATAAAGTCCTTAACTAGTTGCCTAACAAGGAACTGGGACTAGATGGCCTTTAGGTCTTGTTTTGGAGTTTACACCCCAAGAACGTTCTTGGGCCGTAAGCTCCCAGATCTTGTGTTTTGGACATGTAAATAATGTTATTAAGCATATAACAAGTATTAAAACACATCTAGGGAAGTAGACTCACAATCTGGGATGAAAACCCGAAGATCCGTGAGAGAGAAATTGGCTTTTCTCTAAATGGAATTCAACTAATGAACCAATTTGGTTCAGAATTCTATTTATAGTCCTGAGATTTTTGGCAGAAAATATTTCTTTTCGCGGAATGGATTCTAATGACCTAGAGTAATGGAATACAGTGTTTCACAAAATCCTAGTGCAACCACTCTCCTAATACCCCTTTTAGGTGTAAAACCCTGAAACTGCCAAACTTACATTCTAAGTCTGAATTTTCACTGTAACTTATCTACATCTATTGGCTTGATATGGTTTATTCAGAATGGAAATTTCGGGTTGTCACACTTCCGAACAAACCACTCACTATAGGTGAGTTCATACCCCTTAATTAACCTTTGAAATGCTTTTAAATGTTTTTAAAATGCTTTATGGGGGGATGGAAGTTGAATCATGTTAATTATTATATCAATCACA